CATGTTGTCTTCTTCTTTCTCCTCTTTCTTGTTAGGAGCTCTTACTCGAGCTAATGTCAAAAGAGAAGAAATAGACTTCCTGCTCAGTATGATATGAATATTAAGGTGCTGCAGCAGAGCCATTGCAATTCAATTCAATCTCTGCTGGCTGCTTCAGTATCTGACGGTCTAGTCTCTGCTATTAACTTGGGTGTGTGATGGAGTTATTAGGGTTCGATAGAGTTAGAGCTTTGCACAATTCACTTTCCTCTGTGTAATTTGTTTTTTGGGTCGAAGCTACCAAGTGTTGGTGGGGGAGGTTTGGGCTGACCCCAACCTGTTCATTTCATTCAGCAGAAGTGCAAGGAGGTAGGATGTACAATCATTCTTCTCTTAACTTTTTCTTACTGTTCTAGATTTTGAATTTGTTCCCAAATTTTTTTTAAGTTAAATTTATGTATAGTATCTAAAAGCTCCTGTGGTGCAAGGTTGCTGTTTTGGTCCCTCAATTATTAGTCCTACTACAGATAAATGTTTCAAGATTCAATGTTTTTAATTATTATATCATGAGATTACTCATTTTATGCCTTGGAGAACTTTTAGTACCTTTTGTTTTATGATAATATCTTTTGCATTTGCAGAAATTTGGTAATGGAGGGGACCAATAGCTGACGGTATTATTAATAAAAGGATCTAAATGTTTCTAGTGTCAAGTATGCCAGAAATCAAAACTAGAATTTGCCATAATAAAAGCACAATTATCCCTTCTATGAATTTCTTTTGCTTTAGACAGAAATGTAAGAAGGAAAAAGAAGGAAAGAAGCTTGTCTGAACAATTAGTTTTTTGTCCAGGTAGGATCAGATCTTAATGTATTTCTTTGATCCTAAAGTGGACTTTCTGGCATATTATATCGTGGCCATACGAGTAATGATACAGGTTTAAAAGTTTTCTTTAGACACGTGACACAATCTTTTGATTCCCCATCAGTTGTCGTTCTTCTGCCCATTTTTCCTGATTATTGGTCAGATATTGTTTTAATTAGAAAGTAGAATGTGCAAGCACAAATCGGGTTCTCATATTCTAGGCCTTCTTAATGTTTTTAAGGTGTAAACTGATATTTCTGCATCCCCACGTGAGGCAGAAGCTAGTAGCTGATAGAGAGTAGCTGTTGGAGGTCTATAGTGAGGTTATGGGTTCGCGACGATCAGCAAAACTTCTCCATGCCTCAGGAGCTGTGTTTAAGTTAATTTATGTCTATTCTAATTTTGTAAATTTATTTGTCTGTTTTAATTCTAGTAAACTGTTAGCTTATTTTTAGTCTAAGTGTCTATCAGAAGCTCATGTGGTCTAAGTGTGTCTTTAATTCCTTATCCAAGATCAAAGAAGGAACTCCTCATTAAGCAAGAACCGTAACTAAGAACGGAGCAGTTCAATTTTTGGGTACAGGAAAAACTCTCCTAGAACAATCTATTTTCATCGAATTTTTCCAATTGATCAGAACAGCTAGTCTGAAGTCTAATAAATTTCAATGAGTATACTCAGTCATTTTGCCAAGTGAGTAATTATTTCCAGCTTATTATAATTGGCCTTCAGGTGATCATTCAACTATGTCGTTCTACTTGTAAGTCCTGCACTTTATCCAGCCTCTTGAGCAAATTATGAATGGCACTATGTTTTACTTGATTGTGTTGTCTTGATCCATTGTGAAAGGTGGGTTTCTATGAAAACTGAATGGTATTTCCACTGGTGCACCACTTTTCCTTCTCCCCTTCTTCTATTTTTTTCTGCTCCACTTCTGCAACTTAATCCTTTCTATATTTGCGGTAATTGTTTTGCTACTTCTTTTTTCTTTTCTTTTTCCCCTCTACACTGCTCAGTGTTTTCTTTGCTTGACCAGCTACTGGGCTTGCACATTTCTCCCTGCTGTATTTTGTAGCTATTCTTGAGCCATAAGTTAGCTTCAAGATAGTGAAGGAATTATGCCAGCAAATGTAACAATTAAAGTTAATAAAGTGCTTATTTAGTACAGTAGTGTTTGACAGTCCAATGCTGATACTTAACTTGCTGTCACAATGATCCCAAATTTCTGCTCTGTCCTTAACTAGCTGAAATTGAAACCAGATATGCAGGAAGGAAGGATTCACAGATCCTCTCTGTCCTTAACTAGCTGGAACTGTAACGAGATACAAACTCCGGTTTAGGTCTCAGTGCTACAGGTCTGGGGACAGAAGTAGAGATTCAGCTCAGTAAAATCTGTTGTTCGAGAAGACAACAACAATAACAACAACAACAAAACCAGTGAATTCCTTCTATTGTTGTTCGAGAAGGAACTCTAGAAATTAGTTTCATGAAGAGATTCACTTATTGCAATATTTATTTACTACATGAGTGATAAAGCATACGAAAACTTGTGGTGGTTTGTCTTACTTTTGCAAGAATCTAGATCTTTCCGTATGAAACATCACTAATCTATTGGATTCATGGCAATTGAGGGTTCTGATGTTGAAGTTGTAGAAGTGAAGGTTGACTTTGCTATACTTAGCCGCTTTGTCTTAGGAATAATAGTTCTGAATAGGATTAAATGTTTCTCTTATAGGCGATCTCTCATCATTTGTTCTCCTTATTGTGTAGGCGATCTTTTAGCACATCAGTCAAATGACATGGAAGGGTCCATTTTGTTCTTTTAGGAGTTAAATAGATAGCAATCTGTCAGTATATCGGTACAGCTTTATTCTCTCCAGAACTACAACTCGCCTTTTTTTTTTAAATCCTCACTGGGTGATGTAACTTCCATATTTCATCAACCTCAGGCCTAAATGATCTTCTTCTGTTTCTTCAACATTTTTCTGATTTTGTTTTCTGTTTATATATGTTGAGAACTGTGTACAGCAGCTATTTTTGAGCTGTTTGTTTTTGTCATGCTTCAATTGTTTTTGGGGCATGTCATTCATGCTTTTGTTTACCCATGCAGTTGTGCTACATGGTATCCTATTTTATATATATATATATATATATATATATATATATATATATATATATATATATATATATANGAAATAGTACCTTCGCCAGAGTCTCCTGATAACTCTGCTAAACATGAAAGTAATGAAGAGGAAACACCCAGGACAAGTGCAAAGAGAAAGCAGCATTCTTCAGGCAAGGACAAGGTAAGCATTTTAAATCGTTGTTCATGTTGTTTAATCCTTTCGTATTCTGTGTGTTTCTATCATACTAATGCTCTGTGCTATTCTTGTTCTATTTTGCAAATGTAAATTGTGTCTTTATGCTGCAATTCTTCCAACTGATTCTTGTTATAAAAGTCGATAGTGGTTAGCAAGTAGTATAGACTTACCATTTGTTGCCACCTGTTAAGTGCTTGTATACACACACACACACACACACACACACACACATATTTTGCTTGTTCTTTAAAATAGCTGTTTGTTTCATAACCTAACATTTGTGTTAGGAAACAACAAAAGCCAAATGCAAATGTCACCTGTTAAGTGCTTGTATACACACACACACACACACACACATATTTTGCCTGTTCTTTAAAATAGCTGTTTGTTTCATAACCTAACATTTGTGTTAGGAAACAACAAAAGCCAAATGCAAATGTCACCTTAATCTTGATGAATGCGCATTTTTTTTTTGCTCTTATGGGAAGGGGACTACTGCCCTTCTTTCTCCAACCGTCCCTCTTCTGTGTAACTGACATTTGTTGGCACTCATTTCTGATTGCTTATGTTTACTTGAATTCACTTAGGATGACGGTTATCGTTAGTCATGTTTTATCTTGACAAACTGCTTTATTCTAGATTAAATTCATTTAGCTTCTACAGTACTCCTGTGTGATTAACAAGTTGTTTGCCTGGGAGATTAATACCTAACCACACTGCCCCACTGTACTGCTTCTACTTGTCAGGTGAACGAGACTGTGCAACATGGCGAGAGCCTGGTTTGTAAAAAAATCAAAGTTTGGTGGCCATTGGATAAAGTGTAAGTATTTCTTACTTTATTATGCTGCTGCCCGATATGTTTTTCTGTCCAGCATGTTTTTCCCCTCATAACTGACTCTGATAGTTTGGAATTACTATCATATTGAGTTCGCTGAAATTGCTGAGTAATTTTTCCAGTTCTATTTTATCTTGAACCTTTTTATCTGCATTAGTATATGTTACATCTTAGAAATGATATTCCCATTTCAGCGTCAATATGGGTGCTAACCATTGTTATGCCTGCGTCTTGGGAAATGAGGATGCGAGTGTTGGGATACCTCAAGATATTGTATTACTCCCTCTATTTCAATTTATGTGAACCTATTTCCTTTTTAGTCCGTGCCATAAAGAATGACCTCTTTCCTTATTTGGAAACTATTTACTTTTATGCAATGATTTATAGCTACACAAAATATATGTGCCTCATTTTACACCACAAGTTCAAAAGTTCTCTCTTTTCTTAAACTCCGTGCCCAGTCAAATGGGTTCACATAAATTGAAACGGAGGGAGTAGAATTTATGCTGATATTCCTTTGTTGTCACAGATTTTATGAAGGTGTTGTTGAGAAGTTTGATTCTGCCAAAAAGTACAGAGTGAGTGCAGTTTGTTTTTTGCTGCGTAAAACTGAATTGTTTCGTTTGCACTAAGCCTTCTATATTTGAATGATAATTTCTTATTAGGTTGTCTACACTGATGGAGATGTAGAAAACATAAATCTCACAGAGGAACGCTGGAAGTTAGTAGAAGATGATCCAATGTCAGAAGGGGTTAGTTACTGGCTGTATTTTGCATTGTTATGATTTTGTTTCTCTTTGATACATTTGTATGTTCCTCTGTTGACAGGAACAAATAGCAAGTGCTGATGCAGCTTCCGAAAGGTAAGCATAGCCGTTTATCACCTTATTCTTATTTGGTTTTCAAGGCATTTATTCACACCTGAAGCTATAATTACTGACCATGGTAGAGCTAGGAGCATCCTAATTGTCCACCTTTCTGGAACCCTTCTGCATTTTCTATCTAAGATTGTCCTTCAACTGTCTCTTTACGCTATAACTACTTACAAATACATCTTAATTGAAGAAAACAATAAGAGATTCTCATTGCTGTTTTATTATTTCATATTTCTGTGAACCTTTGTTGCTAAAAGGGTTAGAGATCTTTGGCCAAGTCTATCACTTCAACTTTTGCTGATTCATGATGTGTTTCTTAATGAAGTTGTTTCATATGGAATACAAAGCTAGCTTACAATCCAATTTTGTTGTATTCTATGTGATGAGAAGCGATAATAGTTTGTCTACAGGAGGGATGGCTACCTTTTCTTTCGAAACCTTTTAGTTGCTTGGTTGACCAACTTTGAAATCTGTTAAAGGTTGTTGATTTCAAGTCTTATTGAGCACATGGTTAGCTAGTATAAATTGTTTTATTTTAACTTGTGTCTATATGGTTTGGCTTTGTTGGCCTGGTTTATGCAAGTTCTTGATTTCCTTGTTCTATTTGCAGCTATTCTGCTTTTTTGGTAACTGAAAAAAGTGGTAGGTATATGATAGGGGTGGTTGTGATTTTTTTCCATGGAAGTTGTTCTTTTTACTGTAGGATGAGCAAAGTGAGACCGTACTCATTTTGATGTCTGTACTCATTGCGTTATTGTATTTGTTAATGATTATGTTTTGGGAAATGTCATATTCATTCTTTTGTCTGCTTCCTTCCCTGGTTCTCTGGCCTATATTGATCTTGCTACACGGATGGGGCAATATGAGAAGCAGAATGTATAACCTATGCTTAAAAAGAAATTGAAACCTAAATAATTAAATGAAAATTAGCTTTTTTTCTTCTCAACCACTATATATTACAAAAATATTTTTTTAATGTTTCCACCTGGTGTCCTTTACCCGTGTTGGGACCCGACTAACCTGGATTCGTGCCGGGAAGTCCCACTTTGGGGCGTAAAGCTCTCCCTACCAAAGGAAACTCCGTACTTGGGGCTCGAACCTGTGACCTCATGGCTAAGGATGGGGAAGTATTTACCTCATGGCTAAGGATAGGGATGTATTTACCACTCCACCACAAACTTTTGGTGTTAATCCTCTATAAAAATGATCTTTTCTTCATAATCTAGCAGTACGACAATTCTTTGTGTTTCTTTGACTCTGCTTTCGCTATGCCAGGCAGAAGAAGAAAAAACCTAGAAATGCTGAATCATCAGCGAAGCATGAAAGAGTGGAGGCTTCACCTAAAAGGTTGTATACTCTCCTTAACCGTGTGCTTGTGTGATGTATTAACATGTTGTTGGGAAGCCTAACGGTTTCAGTGGTGGGTCTCTTTCTGCACCAAGTCAAAAGACACGGCAACAAAATCTGGACAGAAATCCAAGGATGATGGTAAGCTTAAGCACAACTTAAAAGATGGCACCTCAAAATCTGGCGGGAGAACTGACGGTACAACCAGCAGTAAATCTAGGGCCCAATCTAAAAAAAGCAGTGGCAAATCTGTTGATGATACTGAAAAGCCATCTGCTCGGTCTAAAGATGTTAGCAGTAGTACTCCCAAATCCAAGTCCAAGCAAGATACCCCGTCAACGACTGCCAACAAGTCCAAGCAAGAAACAGTTACAGCTGCCGTCAAGTCCAAAAATAAAACACCTCAAAGTGGCGGCAAGCCCAGTGCCAATGGCATGGAGAAGCTAAAATCTAGTTCGTCAAAGGTTAAAGGAAGCGGGAATTTGGCAAAAACCCCTGATAGCAGCTCTAAGGGAAAATTCTCTAGTGCGTCTAAGGAACGAGAAAGTGAGCCAAAGAGAGGAAAGAGCTGATTAGTTGATGCACATCTGTAATAGTGGAGTTGCTTTGTTAGTGCCTATGCTACATTCTTGGACCTGTTACAGCTCACTGAAGAGGCTATAGAGCCCAAGTATGCCTTGTATGCTATTTGCTGTCTGGCACAATCTGGAGTCACAGCTTGCAAATGTGTCTTATAACACGTCTGTACTATTTGCCAGAAGGTATATCTTTCCCAGTCTAAAGAGTTGATATATTGGTTTAAGTCTACTCACACTTCCTTGCTGCACGTATGTCTTGCACGCTCAAAGCTACAAAATATTTAGTTCTATCAATGTTGGAGGAATTCACTGGGAGTTGTAATATTTGCAGAAGTGTGATTGCATGAGTAGCATCTGGAAATTATCCCCTTTTACCAAGTGCTATACAGGGTTGGTCAAAGTACGAAAGTGAAGGATCTGTTGCTAATAAGACTTTTCAATTTCTATGACAAGAGGTGTTGGAGATACAATATTCTCCGAGTTCCTCTACTTTGTTTCCTCTCAAGTTCTTCTGAATTGGTACTGCTACCTTTTATGTCTAACGTATATTTGCAGCTAAGTTAATCAAAAAAGAAACTCCTCTAAGATTGTGTACTATGTAGTTCCATATCTTGGAGTCGCCAAATTTTTGAGCTCCATATACTACTAGAAGAAACATGCGATAAGATGTTGTCCAGAATCACCACTAATAATTCCTGTTAATCAACTCCTTTATATCTATTTTCTATCAAATGTTAATACCTTTTCACATGACTAAGTCGCCGAGGAAAATGGGTAAAAGCCTATAAGGGGCTGTCTATGTATTTGGTCTTTTATGAATGTTTTGGTCTAATCTCCCTTCATTTTCTGTTTTATTTTTGGTTTTCCTAAAAATACAAAACCAGCTTCTTATGGTGGCTATGTTTGTAATCGCTTGTTATAATTAAAAAACTACTATCTTTGCAAATTAAATTCAATATTCCTTGACCCGTGTAGAGAGAAATGTGCTCTTAAACCGAAAAAGATCAAGTCTCTGAAACCTGGCAGTTGTAGTTGCTTCATTCAAATAGTAGAAGCAATCAGTAAAACTCATTAAAACCCCTGAATACAGAAAATTTCGAAGAAGTGTTCACAAGCTATAATGCGCGAAACACTTTCTAGTTCAGCAAAAAATTAAATATAATCCACAAAAGTAGAAACTAGGAAAGGGTCTGTAAACTACCATGGTGAACACACACTACACTACAAATGCTTGAGCAGTCACACCACAAAGAGAGCTCTAGCAGATTGAAACTATGATTATCGGCAATTGCAAGACTTGACTAGCCATGATTCCAAGATTCCATATCTGAAATTACAATAGAAAAGGACCATTAGTATTTTAAGAACAATATATTAGATTAGAGTTTACTTATGTTTATCCACCACAGCAAATAAAAGATGTCTTGCATTTACATATCTAATGTTTATCCACCATAGAAAACACAAGATTTCTTAACTCCCCACCGCATGCTTAAAATACACTAAGCGACGCAAGATTGCAAGTGAGATACAGGTATCACCAATATGACTTGCTCCTCTAACAGAAGTTTATTAGAACTGAGGTGTGAGAAGGATGGCTTGCCATTGATGACATACCAAATTTTGCAAGGCCGCCATGATGTGATCTCACATCAAGAAACTCTAAAGCAAGGGATTCATGCACCCTTCGAGAAAGCTCCAGCAGCAAATAGAAGATTTCTTCGAGAAAACTGCTCACAGAGTATAACATGCAACTTTTAGAGGATCCCATAATAAAACCATAGAGAGAGAATCATAATAACTCTTACGCGCAGAGCATAGACTGGAGTAGCTTTTGTAGGCAGGGTCTTCAATGATCGAAGTCTATTGTTAATTCCAGGTTTGCTGTTTGAGAGAGAGCACTTGGTATTAGCAATCTAAAAGAAAGTAAATGCCAGAGTATATGTTTGCTTAAGTCAAACTTACTTCTCTTCTTTCAGTGGCGCTTTTGTGCTTGTGGTTACATCCCATAATTTCACAGTGCAATCAGCAGAGCCAGATGCAAGAAGTGAACCTTCACCACTGAAATAGGACAAATAAGCTTGAAATATCAACCATCTTTCATGAACTTCATACTTGAGTGCACCTCTGAAAGTACACGGAGAAAAGGTTTAGTTCTATAACTGAAAGTCCTTCCCTACCTAAAAGCAAGTGACCATACACAGGAGGAGTGTCCAACCAAAGGAGTAATACAACGTCCACTTGAGAGATCCCACATCATGACTGTTCCATCTTCATCACCTGATGCCATATATCGACCATCAGGAGACATTGCCAATGATAGGATCATACTCCTATGACCAATGAAAATCCTGACACAGTCGCCACTTTGGACATCCCACAAGCGTACAGTTTTGTCACTTGATCCAGTTGCAATGTAATTGCAGTTTGCATGCCATTGCACACACTACATGGTGAATTCAACATGTTCTTAGATTTATGTTCATTGAAAGGAAATTACTAATTGAAAATGCTTCCAGGCAACATCGCAGAGCAACTGAACAGTTCTATCCTACCGNCAATTGAAAATGCTTCCAAGCAACATCGCAGAGCAACTGAACAGTTCTATCCTAACGGTATTTTACTATACCTTCTTAGACCATTTTAATGATCAATTGTAAATTCATTATGCTAGAAACTTTTGAATGATATCATTCAATAAAATATAGTTTTAAATCCAAATTCAGAATATTCTGTTATGGTTATAGTAAGAGCATTTTATTAGTGCCCAATCTCTCCAAATAAAATATTCAACCTTCATTCCTTTTCTAGTATAATAGTGGTGGTCTCCACCAACGGAGAAGGAAAAAGAGTTGTAAACACTTACCCAAATGTTATCCAAGTTAAAAAAAAAAAGGTTGCTCTTGTTTATAAAGATTCCAGTTAGCAAGCTACTTGATACCAAGGTAAAAGTTACTCTCCCCGTTCCATTTGCAGAGATTCTAAAAATAAAGATCGACGGATTATCATATTGGAGTTAGAGATACATTAGAAATAACAGTTCACATGATGAAGTGTCAATTATTGTTGAAAATATACCAAATCAACGCGAAAAGAAATATTATACTACCTCTGTCCCATTAGAAAACATCATAAAAAAAGTATTAAAATAAGAATAGTTAAACAAACTTGGATTCTTGTAATTTGTAAAAGTTGTATAAAGCAATATTAGCATTGGTATGATGTCGAACATTTTGGGGCATCCCAAAACGGAAAGATATCATATAAATTGGGACGTGAGGGAGTACTAGCTTGGATATTTGAACATGTAAAGCTTGCCATTTTATAGAAGTAGCCAAGTAATTATGGGGGACAAATATGAAAGTGGGTCAAGTAACTTAAGATGTATAATACCAGCCACATGGAGTGATATCGATGCCTACATAGATCAGATTAGAAAATAGTCGTCCAGTGAATGGGGCACAAAATAGGTACTCACATCCACATCTGATAAGTGTCCGGCCATTATTCTCAGAGGCTGTATTCTGTCCATAGACCAGATTCTTGCAGTGCGGTCATGTGAACAACTGGCAAAATAATGACCAACTGGACTAAACTGCACACAAAATGTGAAGTGAAAACCATAACATTTATTTGCCCATCTTGACTCTTGAGGACTCTTATCTATACTCACCATGAGCAAGCACCAACTGCTCAAGAGAGGAGACAACTAAAATATGTCAACAATAGAAATATGGTAATCTAGCTAGCTCAAGCTGCAATAAGCGGTAGCTATAACACTATGAAACTTCTTTTTGACATTAGAACATGGGTTCCCTGTCATTTATCTCCAAGGGAAAACTTATAATTTTTTGACATTAGAAAATGGCTTCAATAATGCATAAAAAATCCATTAAACTTGGGCTGTATTTCATTTGACGACCAATAAAACAAAGTCGAATAAGACATGCCCAGAAGAATATAGTCTTTTAGGTGAGTTACTCAAAGTGATTGCAAATATATTACTACCACATTTACAGTCAAAAAAGGAATCATCATACCAAACTTAACAAATGACAAACTAGCCACCAACCTGAACATCCCATACTGGGTAATTGTGGCCTTTGTAGCAAACAAGATTAGCATTTAACCTTGTGCTCCATAAGCGAACTGCATAGAAATATTTAGCAAAAGGGTCATACGAGCTCATGGTTAGAGTGTGCACACCAAAACTGCAGTAACTATCAGAATCTAAATGAATAAAAAATGACATAGAGCAAATAGCAAGAAGAGTCGTATGATATCATACTTGTTGAATCTGATGAAGAAGATAGAAGAAAATCCCCGTACGGACTAAAGGACGCAGAATAAACAGGCCCAGAATGGCCCTGAAATAATGTATAACATCTTCTTCCACCACTTGAGCCAAGCACATGCTCACNCTTATTTTAATTTAGGACATCATAGAGTTGAGAATAACACAAACACTTCCAAGTTTCGATTATAGCTAGCATAACTAGAGCTCCACAAAAGAATCCCTTCCTGGCATCTAAATACTACTTTTACGTAATCAACAATTATGCATGAGTACATTTTCAGCTCAAAAAGAAATCTTAATCATCACCAAGTAATGGCGTTAGCATGGTCAAGACTTGAGTGTCACAAGTTAATACATGCGCTTGCACGTGTAAAATGAGTTCCACCCTACATTACCATGACTATACATGATAATGCTCATGGCAAAGCAGGTAAGAGCTGCAAACAGGTATGCATGCTTGTCTAAGGAAGAAGTAAGACTGTCTTTGGTTATAGAACCAGCAAGACAGAGTGGGACATCTATTAGACCAGAAGGTTGTTCAATTAATATTTTGGGGTTGAGCATGTGATATCTAACATTAATCCCGTTCCAGAAGGTTGCTAGACATTACGCATGGAAGCAGGGGACAAAGTGGAGAACAATGGTCAATGGGTAGTTTGTGACCAAGTCTTTTTAATTGTTCTTGAAAAAGTTGGGCCGCAAAGGCACCTAGAACAATACTACCTTGGCCCGAAAGTAGTTGTCTTATTTTGCTACTAGAGAGTCGAACAAATCGATCCTTGATTGAGACTTTTATATATTTTCATAGCTTTGAAATGAAAGAAGAGCAACTTGTAATCTTTCAAATGGTTTTGATGGCAAGAACAACGACGACTACTCCCTCAATCAAAAACAGTAGCCTTTCATATAGTCTCGGAATATGTAGATTCTAGTTTTGATGGATGAATTATTCAAAGTTAGCAGCCTTTAAAGGGGCCTAGATTCGCCCTCAGAAAACAATTAGCATGGAGATAGTATTTTCTTTTCTTTTTGCTTTTCTGCTAACCGAGAAATCCTTGAGGGCTAGCTGAAGCCCGGTTCGAAACTCGGTAGATAATGGGTCCATCCCTCTCCCCCTCTCGACTTAAATACCAGGCTTTTGTCTGCTATGGTTCGAACTCGTGACGTGCGTCTAACTGACACATGACGCGCAACACTCTTACCACTTAGACCAAAGCCCTATGGGCTGGAGAGCGTAATTTCTTATCTAGTGGAGATCAGTTTAAGAATTAATCTCAACTGCTGATATGACATAAAGAATAGTGTATCAGCTGATTTCACAGGATTTTGTAGGGAACTATGAGATATCTGTCTATATCCCTTCTGCAAGGTGAATAAGAGCTATCAAATCCAGTAGCTTAGAGGTAGTTAAGCTTTACTGTCCCCTATCCCTCCCACCAACAGTCTTTGTGATGTAACTAACTTCACAACCCTACTGCAGTTTTACAGTGAAATAATATTTTATCTACTTATCAAAGGAAACTAAAAAAAAGGACAAGAAAAATTGCTGTCTGGTTTGCCAGTTGTACTCTGACTTGCCGAGGTATTACAAGGCACCCATACCACCTCATTGACTAATATACATCTTGAAACATGAAAATAGCAATAGCATTGGGAAGGACTATCATGTTGGACTTACATGGACCAGTTTGTTGCCCAAGCTTTGCCATGTCCCAAACCTGTAAAATGTGGGACTTAGATTAGAAGGTGTTCAAGGATCAACAGATACATTAGTTTGTGATAACAAAATATCGACGCTATTCAGAAGCTACAAACACCTTCAAAGACGAGTCTGAGAATCCACCAGCCACCAGTGATCCGTCATGTGATATTGATGCACAGTTTAGTCTACAAAGATTTACAGGTAAACTCAACTAAGAACAGGATAACTGGAAAGAAATTCCACACCTACAAGATTCAAGATCCTGAAACTTACCCATTATGTGTATTAACAAATGTATAGAAGCTAACAGAGGGCAATGCTGCATTACTCAACTGCACACGGTTCCTCAAGTCTTCCAGAATAGAATGTTCTACCTCTGCAGGACTGTGACAAATATTTTCTCAGTTATAAGAATGATCCAAGATCCTAGAAATAGGAAGCAGCATATGTTTTAGATCAATTCTGTCGAAGATTTACCAACTTCAAATCAAGGAAAAGTCTCAGAGAAAGCTTTAACTAAAGTAGGATTTTTGGGAAAAGAAAACAAAGAGAAAGAATCAAGAGCAAAAGCCATCTAATATATAATTTCATTTTTTAGAGAATGATAACATACGTAAAATATAATTTCATTTCATGAAAACATGCTCCCCTTCCCAAAGATATGACAAATAATATTGTTGGTACAAGCATACAAGAAAATACTTTATTTATCTGTTCTCTTGCATCCATATTTTTCATGCTTAAAGACCGCAATATATTGGAAGAGAATGTGAGTGAACATACGGAAATATACTATGAGCATGACATGCTGCAGCGGATTGCTGGTCAATCCTATTTTTCTCATCCTATGCAATATTCCTTTTTGATACAACTCCTTAGCAGTATAAATGTTTCCCTAACGGATCAACAACAACAACAACAACTACGCCTCAATTATAACAAGTTGGAGTCAACTATATGAATCCTTACTGGCATGTTTCCCTAACAGATCATAACAGTATTTGAAATAAAATTACACCTCCAAAAGAGTGTCTTTTCCAAGTGTGGGAAGGGGAATGTAGAAGTGAGAAAAATAATAGGGCATTCTCTTTTTTTCTTTTGGTAAGTAAAATAAGAGGACATTGTGAGGAATACATAGCAGGTAAAGCAAGTTCCGGTTTGACACGTGGTGCAGTTGTCACTGTGCTGCCCTCTGTACGAGAAGATTTCCCTGTTGCAACCCCAACTTTGTCCTTCTTTTGCTTTTTAAGAGATGCACCTTGTTTTCCACCTTCAACTGACTTCTTCTGAAAAGAAAGCAGATACAAACAGTAAATGACGAAGGATGTCATCTTTTCAGAAAAAAAAATGTGGAAGGATGTGCACCAAATTAAATTTACGCCAATAATGAAATAGAAGATAAACAATAATTTAAGTGGGAAATACTTATCAATTAATTTAAGTGGGAAATGAACTGACAGGAACTCAATACCTTGTTTTCTTCCACTTCTCCTTCCTTAGGATCTCCATCAAACTTTTCCGAATCTGGAACCATACCTCCTGTCTTTTCTAACCGTTCTTCTAAAGAGTCTTCAAGCAGCTGCCACAAGTTAAATTGTTAACACATCTCCTGGGAATAAAAATTTAAAACACAGAAGACCTACAGTACACAGATTCTTGAAAGAGCGTGATATATGATTCATGTCAAGGTGTCAGGCTCGAAAAGTTCTGTCTAGGATATGTGGATACCAATAGAATATCAAAGGTAGGTCATGTTATGAATCATCATCACATTAGGCCTGCTACCATACTTTCGCATTACATATTCAGCCTATCACATATTTGAGCCAAAAGTTATGTAAAAAGCCCATCTTATAGGAAGAAAAAGCTACTATTGCCCCCCCCCCCCTCCTTCTCACTCTGTAATAAGTAATAACAACAAAAAGAGAATGAGAAAGAGAAGGGGAAAACCCATCTCTCCAGTCTCTTCATCTGCCAAATTAAAGTCAAACTGTCCACGTTATTTGACCAGATCCAACATGAATTCCACCCGCACCAGGTGTCATGTCAACACCAGCCATTTGGCCAAAACGCTTAGTCCAAGTAACATAGCAGCACTAGATACTAACACTTTCTCTTAACAGTTCATTTAAGCCAACACTTTTCAAAAGCATAACCCAAGCAATCCTCAATATCACAAAACACGAAACTAGAATGGCTACAATCAGCATGCCATATTCACCAGGGTCTTTTACACGC